ACATCCTCCTCAAAACTCACCTACTCCAGGCTTCAGGAAGGCGTCACAAAAATGCAAATAACTGAATTGCTTTTGTTTCAATTTGTGCAAATATTTGAACAAAACCACCATCAATATTAACTCTACGCTCACTTGAAAGGCGCTGGTATTCAGCATGTGACCGAATTCAGTAACTCAAGACCTCTGCTCATATACCAGTCGCAAGAGAATCTGCCTTGTCAACTGGTGGATGTCTTGAAGAGTTGGTTTGACAAAAATATTAGAATAAAACGAAATTTTCCGAAACACGAATTTATTTGCCAATAGCTCCTTTTCCAGCTAAGTTTTGGTCAGTTTCTCTATATCTGAAGAGCCAACCTAGTCTTAAAATCTCAGGGTGATTTCACGAATAAATGAGTAAATGAAGTGTAACACTTTATTTCCCAGGGAAAGAGAGAATTCATCTCCTTGCTAGCGAAAATAAATTGATACAACGCCGACATGAAGACGTAACACGGCAACTTTTTATCCTTCAGTTAGACTGATTAGGAATTGTTGAGTCTTATAGCACGACCCAATTAAGCTGGCTTTAGTGTTTAAATTATAAATCATAGTAGTGTGAAGTTGGTATCATTAGACTACCATACATTTGGCCTTGGTGTATAAACTTTGGTTCTTATAGATTTAAAACCCTCAGAGAGCCTTCCTTGAGCTTGACAAACTTCAAATTGGGTCCTTGAAACATTATCATAAAGTCATTGAGAAACAAATTCGTTGTCAATCATGGTGATGATCAATATCGTCGACAGTCAGGTATCACTGATGATGGGAAAATTTTGGTTACATTTTTTCCTGGTGAAGTCAGTCCATCGATAGCCAACCTTTTACATTGTGACTTGTATTCTTGAGGTTTCCTCCCATTGCAAATTCGCACCCAAAAAGAGCAATCCGCCCTACCAAATAGACCTTCACTTTTCAGCCCAACCCATGGCAATAATATTTCAACTGAAATTTGTTTTCGTAGTAATTAATGTGACTGTGATGGAACGAAACTCCCTTACAGATGATCCAATCTTCCATAAAATTCAGAACAATTCGGTTCAACGCGCAGCTGATTTGGCAAGTTTTCAAACGACAATTGTAGCGCTCTTAAAAGCATCAAGTAACACAATTACTCGACTTAATACCGTACTGATTCATTTCCGATATGGTGTTTGTCTAAAGATGGCATTTTGTATTAGCCTATTTCAAAAGTATGGCAATGACAGCATGGCTATGGTAAATAAATTTGTATTTCATGTCGTCTATAAGAAACTTGTCTCTAAAACAGCAATTTATTAGTCACTTTTGGGAATAGCCCGGCTTGTGGTATATAATAACGACAAAGGATCGGGTAAATTACTGAGTTGTACCTCATCTTTTTTTCCTTATCATGTCAATTGTTACAAAGGAATAGTAAATCATTTCAAAAAGGAATTATACTAAGTTTTAAAATATGATTAAATTAGTATTGGTGGAGACTTCTCACAATTATGTTATACCATTTTGGCCAGATCACATCTCGCACACTCTTAAGATTTCGCCTTTTTGACGAACAGTATGACGGGTCGAAACTTCCTTTCATGACGTTTTCTTCAAATTTGTTGGCAATATTTCCACTAGGGCTGTATCTTCCTGCCACATAATAACAAAGGAAGCCGTCTTCATCTTTTGAGGCCCATCCGAGGCCGAGTTGTGAAGTCGAGGCCCAAACGATCTGTGTAAAATGTCCAGTTGAGGATGACGATTCTGGCTTGCTAAAATCGTACTTACAAATCTCGTTATACCTTCAGTACGAAGAAAAAGGAAGAAAAAAAAATTTTTTCTTAGACCTTGTTGTTCCAGAACTAACCAGAAATGAGTTTTTCCTCAAAATATGGATGCATTTTTAAAAGGAAAAGTCGAAAAAAGGGAAATTATCCAACTAGATAATATATATCTATATATTTTTTCCTTTTTAGGACAATCACTTAGCATAGTGGAATAAAACCAAAGTTTCCCTGTATAACATTCCACATTCCACGAAGAAAGTGACGCACGAGCTCAGAAGCTCCTGATTAGATTATGCCTTTTTTTGACTGAGGTAGACCTATCTGTTCATCACGAGTAAGTCTCTAATTTTTAGGATTCGTGCAGCATCATGTTTATGGAAATCTTCATAGGATTTTACCAGGTCGATCGGAGAAGATCTGGTCATAATCTACTCACCATCTCTCAACAACTTTAGTTATAATCTCCTCGGGAGTTTCATCTGAGGCACACAACTTGCCAAGATTCTCTCCTTGATCACCCAACTCTGAGTCGTCAGTGTGGACAAGTTTACCCTGAGCTGCACTTCTTTCAGCGGTCTTCTGGGCATCGCTGTTCAACTGTGAGCTCAAAATTAGAGCAGGTGATTTGTGTATTCTGCGATAAAAGTTGTGCTTATCCAATCCCTTTTGGAGAACGTCTACGAGTAAAAAAACAAAGCAAAAAGGAACTGATTTAAGTGATGGACATTTTTTACTTAATTGAGAATATCAAAAAAGAACAAATCAGGCTATGCAAGTAGGAACTATAGTATCCACTCGTTCTATTTCTCAACGATTTGAACAAGTCTCTCAAAGGCAGGCGTTTTCAGGTAGGACATTGCAAAGCGATTAAACGCTGGTATTTTGGTATGCCTGTTGATGACGAATGAATTGGACATTGAACCTCGCCAAAAACTAAACAACCCTACCATTATACATAGGAGGACATATAGCTACAATTCACATTTATCATGTACCTCAACTCCAGCCTCACAAAAAAATGGTGAGGTGGATCATTTGTGTTATCGGAGAGACCACAAGGTCCAAGTTGTTCACTATGTCAGATTTTTTTTCCGATGAAATCCCCATCATTACCTGCCTCCGCGTCGATTCCTCCGCCTACCGTTGCTGCTGACACCGTGACCGATGTTGTAGGACTTAGATTACCACCGTCGGTTGCTTCTGTTGCCTCTGTGAGGAGAGTTGTCTCAGACGCCGAGGAAGGGGTATGATCAGTGATACTGCTGCTCGAGGGGGTTGATGCTGTTGTACTACTGGCCGGCTCCTCCGTTGTTGGAACACTCTGCGTGGTAGCTTCGGTGGTTGAGGGCGACTCTGTCGAGGCTGCCTCTGTACTCGACGATGTTGGGGTCGTTGACACAGTGGTTAGCGGTAAAGCGTTGGTTGAGTAAGGTAGATTATTTGTTCCTTGCATAGAATTAATTCCGCCCTGATTACAAAGAGCGTCAAAAACACACGGTGGACACATGAGCGGCGACAGACAGAGATCTGCCGTTTTTGATGAACTGTCGTATATAAGCTGTCCCTCAATAGGAATTCGTAACGAGCCTGCATTTGCTGTTGAACAAATATAAGAATAAGAAAACGCAGATAACAACCGTGTTTGAAAGATATCATAGTTGTACGATAAACGATTATTTCTAATGAACAAAATGTCTTACCTCCCACTGAAAACAAACCTAACCAAACGACCAGGCCATGATAATTCAAACAATGTAAATTCTTTGGATTCCTGATAAATGACATTAACAGAACAAAAATAGGTTAATAGTCTATGGAAGAGGCAAGGAAAAGACCTAAATTTTTCTTTTCTAAGGATTTCGATAATCGAGCATTTGTAATTAAAAAATCAAGTGACTTCATAAATTAAAGTAGATGCATAGAGATCTATATACTTAACTAACAATTGATGGCGTTATTCATGGAATTGCTTCACTTAATCATCTCATAATTAAAATTTAGCTGGCTAGTTTTTTTTCAAAGTTACTTACATCTGCCGGGTTTTAAAAAAAGTAGAAATTCTGAGTTGCAAGTTGAGGTTCTTGATCTCCTGTCAGTCTTGATACTCCCAGAACCAAAGGATTGAAACTACCCACCTGTATTTAGATGACATAAGTTATCCTATTTAATATCGATGTAGAGGACAATAACCCCAGAAATGTGATATAATGAATTTTATGATAATGCATAATTCCAAATCTTTAACATGCACAGAGCAGGAAAATCAACCACTAATTTCCATTTGTATGCTCTGTGGCTTGAGATTATCTCTAAACTTCCACTCCAGGAGGCGACGAGCGTGTAAAAAATGGCACGGAAATGTGGACGGTCTCAACTTTTCGCCCAGTGGTATCAAG